AGGGCTTGAAAATACCCCGACCCTCAAGTCTTCAGCTCGGCTCAAACATTAATTCAGCCAAAAGAAAACGTTTGTCTTTTTATATCATCAGAAAACTAGCCCAAGTGAAGGGAGTGGCTTTGGGGGATGGGGGGTCAGGGGGCAGCTCATCGCACTCCACAGTATTAAAGTGACCAACGGCTGAGTTAAATCAAACGTGCTGATCCTCCTGAACATGAAGGAGGGCAGCGGGTTTCTCTGCACTGTTTATGGACGAGTTTAAATCCTGGTCAGCTTGTTAAACGGTTACCAGACTGATTGGAAACCGTCGTTTGGGCGCCGTCAAGATGCTCAGAAACTGTGATGAGATTCCTGCAGTTACTTGTTGATGTGTTGCTGTGGATACAACATCCAGACAAATGGTTTAGTGACGATACTTCCTGTTTTCTACACAGGAAGGGTTTGACATACTATCCTCGCTAGTGTTAGCATGTGTGCTAATGCTGTCCAATAAACTCCCTGAACTCACTCTGATTGTTCACAACATTCTAGTTTATGCAAACTATAGATTATACAAAAGCTGCATAGTGGCTCTGTGGTTAGCATCGTCACCTCACAGCTAGAAGGTCGCCGGTTCGTGACACCCGGGATCTTCCTGCGTGGAGTCTCCATGTTCTCCCCGTGCAGCGTGGGTTCTCTCCGGGTTCTCCGGCTTCCTCCCACAGTCCAGAAACATGCTGAGGTTAATTGGTGATTGTAAATTGTCCGTAGGTGTGAATGTGAGTGTGAACCCACACCATACCGTTCAGCTGTGTACCCCTGAACTTAAACCCTGAACAGAAAGTGAACTACATGTTGGGGCGATGTGGACAACAACATCTGCTCAACAGTAAGAGCAAAGACAATGTAATGGGCTGTACCTGTATCTGGTTTGCTCAGATTACAAACCAGAACCAATGGAGCCATTTGCCCTTTTCTCATTTTCAGAGCTCTACCAAACCATGTGCAGACTCTTGGCTTCTGAAGGTTTCTTTCTTTTCTGCATTGCATTAATTTCATTTAAAGTCACTGATGTTCAGCATCTGGTTGCTCCACTTCCAGCAGGATCTGTTTCAGTCAGCCAGTGTTGGACGTATAGAAAAAGTCTCCACACCGCTAACTAGCGGTTTGGCAGCATACATTCACTCCAGGAGTAAAATCCAGCTTTTTGTAAAGACAGTTTAATTAAGGGATGAGTGGATTTTATTTTCAGTCTGTCTCACAAGAACATTAAGTCAATAGTAATTAGTTCTACTCAGACTGTGGATTTTGTCCCCGTCCTGATATTGAAAACACATTAGGAAGGGCTGTATTAATTTGAACAGAGGAAATGATTCAGGTTTCACATGGACACCTGTCCAGACAGGTTAACGTGCTGATTGTAACGAGTCCTTACAGCCTACGGACTGATTCAAAGGCTAACGCTACGTGTTAGACGTACCTGGTCCAGTTGGAGGTTCAGGTGGAGGAAGCAGAGAGAGAAGGAAGGATGAAGGAGAGAAACTGTTGTTGTTTTTCTTTTTCTTCTAACCAGGCCTGTTTGTAAATGAACTTCACTGTATACTCACCGTACAGTAGAAGCAAACAGAACAAAGCAGATTTATTTATTTATGGAGAAGCCATTAAATAAAAGATTAAACAAAAAAACAGGCAGACTAAGACGATACAGGCAGAATTATTTGTGCTTTATGATAATATCTGATTGAAGGCAAGCTTTGATAAACCCTTTTTATTTACTCCTGCCTTAGAGGAAGGGAAGCCTGCTGAAAACAACAATGGACGCCTGCTATATGTGTAAGGCTGCCATCTACAGTTTGGGTCTGCAGTCGACCACTTTGACACAGACGTGGCTGAAGGAGGATCCTGCTGAACTTAACATTATTACCAGCTTCTTCTTGCATTTCTCTGATGCTTTTTTTTTCTTTAGTAGGTCAAACCGGTTGCTTGTGACCTTTCAGGCATGAACCCAGTCAGTCTCCACCTTCACAGATTCACAGACACTGAGGTGCATCCCCTTGATGTGAATGAAGGCGATAAGAAGTTTTGATAAGATGTTTGGTAAAAATCAGCCCTTTCATTAACTTGTTTTGACCAACCACCTGTCACACACGCTGCTATGATCGCTGCAAATGCACAAATGTTCTCCAGTGAATTATCAACAACCAGAGCAGCAGCGCTTGTTTCTATTATTTTATTTATAGAGACAATAAACTGTGTAGGTTTGCTTTTGAAACTACGACTGATGCTCAAAGCTGCTACTGAAAAAAAAAGGTAGATTTTGGCTTTAGATCGTGAAGCTGAAATGGACATCAAATTGATTTGGTTGCAGTTTTTAATATAGGTTAAATATATTTTTTTAATCCCTGAAGCTGTCATGTGGTTGTCTCAAAGTTCTGAGGGCTCACAAAGTCTGAAAAAACAAAGCACAAATTAAAAAGTGTGAAATTACAACCCACCTCAAGGTACTTTGAAGGCCTGGAACTGAAAATATTCATAGTATGAAGGCTCAATTTTGCACGGCTTCGTTCAAAACACTGAAACTATTGTGCAAAACAAATGTGCTCATTGTGATCAGGTGGGCGGCGCCGACCGATTCTTCATGGTGACACGGTGGAGACAGAGCACCCTGCATGTGTTTTACATGTAGAGAAACTTCATCACTGACTCGGGCGTGGCGAGACGTGAAGCTGTGAGGCGTCTTCATTTTCCATTTTTCATTAAAACACACCGTCAGTGACGCCTGCCGTTGTTGTAAAGTGTGTGTTTTCAGCTCGACGTGAACGGCAGCGATATTAACAAACCGTCTTCTCTCCACTGCATGAGTGCCGATCCAGATCGGCTGTACATGAGGAGGAGGGCTGGTTGCTAGGCTGCATATTCCTTCAGTTACAAAGCTCTTTGATACCTGTGTCGCTGTATGCTTTCACAGACATGCACCCACTCACATGGCTCAGGCCAGGCACCTACACAAAAAAGACCACACGAACACACCGACGTGCACCAGTGAGAAGACCTGCTTTCCTCTAAATCAGGGCAACAACCGGCAGCCTTCCTACCCGGCGAAATATCAAGGCAGCCTCTCCACTCTGCAGGCAGACAGGAGCCGTCTAACGGCGCTAACAAGGTGAGCAGACAGTGTGAGCTGTTGTGGCGGGTGTCTGTGCTCCTTCAGGAGGAACCGACAACAACCGGACTGGCACCACTAATAAGGTGTCAATGCAGCTCTGCCCCTCGCCGAGAGAACAAGCGTGCAGCTCGCACAGGAGGCTGCTGCAGGTATTAAAACCACAACAGGCAAGACTTTCACACAAAGTAAAGCTGCAGCAGAAAGCAGCATCCCATTCCCACCAGAAACACTGTGTGTGTGTGTGTTTTTGGTGCCTAAAATCAGGATGGATGGCAGCAGGAAGTCTCCTCCACGCACAGGCGGCGATGCATGGAAACATGACGGCTGCTCACCACCGACAGACGCCAGCTGTGAGGACTGCCATTTAAAGAATAGGGTTTGGATTTTTAACATTCATCTTCATGAAACATTTCCACAAACTCCCAGCTGGATACATAATGAGAGCAAGCAGGAAGAATTAAGATCGCTCAGCGCCTGTTACAGCCGTGAAAAATAGTCCGTAGACACGGCCGACGGCATGGAGGAGATGCAGGTTTGTAGTCAGAGGAATCTAATCAGTGAGGGCAACACAAACAAAATCAGCTGATGTGGATACAATACCAGCTTGAAGGCTGATTCAGATGATCCAGCTTGAGTTCAGTTTGAGTGAACTAAACCAAGCAGCCAGCGCCAGGTTCATGGTGGTATTTCTGTTTGAAGGATGCAGGCTGTATCAGGCTGCTAATGCCTCGTGCTAGCTTTGAACATCCTTTCACACAAAATGTGAACCGTGCATTTAGTTCTGGATCTTATTCTGCAGTCACACTAGAAAGCAAAGACTTCAGGGGCAGCATGAGCACGAGGACTCGTGCATGTGGCATTTATTGGACTCAGATAAACTTCACTGGAACATTCGAACCCATCTTGTAAGAAGCCGAATGTTCAAAGCTGGGCGTCATTTTAGCATATTAGCAGCGTGGGGGTGCAGGAGAGAAGATATTGAGTGATTACATTTGAACGTGCGTCTCTGTGAGCTGTTAACATATTGACATTAAATACAAACGGCACTGATGTGGACGAGATGTTAGAGAAGGTAAAGATGAAGAGCGGTGGCGAGCCCGGCTGCTATCTGGGCTTTATTGGGCTCTGCTGCTGAGGCTTACTTTGCAGCCTGCATTCTAATGAGAGGAGCGAGGACGGAGGGAGTGCGGGGGGGTGGAGGGATTGTGTAACTCTGTGTTACATAACACAATATGCATGGCCTTCCCTCTCTCTCAGCAGCAGCAGCAGCAGAGAGCGGCGGGTTTAGGAGGGTGCTGGTGTTAATGAAGGCGATGTGAAGAGATGCGCGCCTCGCTGGAAAATCATACCTCATTACGGAAGCGTTTCTAATAATGCCGGTGATGAGGAGAAGTTGTTTGGGAGGTGAGGGGACGCGGAGAGCGAACCCCCGGCTTGTCTTAGATTAAAACTCAACCATCAAGTGGCATTGGAGTGGGTTTGCTGGGTAATTAATGTCGATAAAATGTTATTGCTTTCACCCTGAGCCCACCTTCGGATGGGCAGCGTTCAGCTGTCAGGCTGGACGTCTCAGAAGAGGACAGCTCACTGCTGGGACTGCACTCCACATCCTGTGCTGCTCTGCTGATTACAAAACACGTCTCATTTCCACGTCTTCCTTGCACCCAAGCTTCAGCTCTTATTAATCTTGTTAAGCTTTTTAGAGGCAGTGGCTTCGTCTGCTCGGTTTCATTCAGCAGGTTTGATTCTTGAATCACATCCTGACTTCAGTGAACAACATTCATTCATGCTTCGTATTCACACAGCTCACCGTCGCCTTCTACAACCGACTGGAAATAACATGTCAGAAAAACAGTTGTTTCAAAAGATTGATTTAATACAAAGTTCCACTCACTATGCAAAAGCTTATTTGTCCTCAGCACAGACCAGTCAGCATGTTCTCACAGCTTCTATCTGCTGTCTGACACAAGTTCAGGAATAGTTGACTTTCACGCAGAACGTCTCCTCCGTCTTCTCCTCCAGGTTGTTCACGTAGACCAGGATCTCTGCTGAGCCGGGACTCTGGCTGAGGGCGAAGCGTAATCCGATGGTGTAACTCTCGCCGCCGCCGATCTGAGCACAGAGAAAAGAACAAACACACTTTATATCAGTCTGAATGTTTCCTCTTACACATCGAACCAACCAGTGTGCTCTCTGCAGCCGTCTTAATGAACACTGAACAAAAATATAAACGCAGCCTCTGATGTTCTGTTAAATTCTTCTCACTCTTTTTTACATATAAAGATCTGTTGTTCCAACACACAGCTGGAGTGAACATCATAAAACAACCCAGTATGCATCGTATTGGAGATGGTGATGTGCAGCTGGAGAGTGAAGACCAGGGATCTGAAGTCAGTAACAGTAAAGCAGAGTTCATGGGGCTGTAGATGCTTGTTGGATGCTGTCCTACTGCTCCTGAATGGCAAAGTTGGACGTGCACCCAGAGAGCCCATAGGTGGACTAACCCTAACCCTGGCTTAACTGGAGAGTGCAGGTCGTGGTAGAACTGGAACATTTGAGGGGCCATGAGGATGATCTTCGTCTTGCTGAAATGTTGAGTGACGACTCCGTCTTTAGGACCACCGCTGATGAAATGCAGATGTGTTCTTCATTTATGCCCAAACCATCTCTCCTCTGCCTCCACGGGCCACTCTTACGATGCACAACGTTCCCCTGTAGGATGCCAACCACAACATCTGCTCTGCACAGCTCAAACCCAGATCCATCAGGGTCGTCCTCCATCCTGCTCGTGTCCACTGGATGTGAGAGGTCGTCCTCCGCAGCTCATTACGGCACTGCTTGCCTCGGCGTGGGAAACCAGATGAAGACGAAGACCAGCTGGAGCACATGTTCTCTGGTCCGTCTGTCAAACCGTCCTGTCTGGACCTGTTTCCTAGACAACAAGTGTTGGAGCTGTGGACGTTAAGGTGCCTCACTGACAAGCCAGCATCCAGCACACCTAAAGCACTCTGTAGGCGCTGGTCCAGGTGTCTGTGTCCTGGTCGGGTTATCTGACCATCGTTCTCTAAAGCCACACATGACCAGGGTGTGGATTAAACTGGGGCTAAGCTGAACCCTTTTCTAACTGGAACAACAGAAAGGAGAACTTCTCTCTAAGCCATGCATGCTGTGTTTATGCTGCTGTTCGTTGTCAGCCTGCCTCCACCTTGTATCTGGAGTCAACAACGCTTCACACCTCGATGTGACGTCACTGACTTCCTGCTGTGAGCTTCATATGTTCTGACTCTGTAACGCAACTCAAACACAAACATTCAAGATAAGAAGAAGCTCATTATTCTTACACTAAAG